GCCTCGCGTGAGCGAGGAGCTAAGGCGCATCATTTTTTAAACATTGGTTGGACAAATCTATAACATCTATCCAATACGTCTTGGATATGTTGAAAATTAAAAATATGTAAAAAGAGTATATGACATGTACCCATCTCCTACTACACTAAAACTAAATAAATTTTCTCATCAGGATGTTGATTTCTCGAGGGAGTCATTTCCTCCATTTTGGAGGTGTTCTTGTATTTTTTCCTTCCCCGTGTTAGTTTCTTTCCCCTTCATGCAAGCAGGGTAGATAAGAAAAAGTATTCAATGTTTGACCTATAATACTAGTTTGACTTTGACCTACATAGTGGATTTCGCATATTATCTGATTATAGTTGCAATCAGATGAAATATCTTGTCACCTTAAAGGACTTTTACAGTCGTACTTAATGGAGCACAACACCATTTCACAATGAAACATTTAGCAAACATGGCTATAGCAAGCTGAAAGAGGAAAACATGTGGTATTAGCCTTGTTAGAATTGGAGGCAAGTTTTATGCATCAACATATTTTAGTTGCATATTGAAATATTATAACTATTTGCTGAATTAAAATCATTAACATTGTAGTCTATGAATAGAATAATCACCACTTGGGATTTCGTAGCAAATAAATTTTAAACATTCATGAGACTTGTGTCTAAACAACAAATTTACAGCATAGAAACTTGCATAGTGTGAATAGTCTGTATTTTTAATAATCATATAGAATTCGTGGATCAACTCGTCCCCAAAAGCTCAAACTTTGTGATACCTTTTAGGGAAACTTCATTTGTATAAACAATAATTTTACAACATAGAAACTTGCTTAGTGTGAATAATACGTATTTCTTTCTAATTATCATGTAAATTTCATGTATCAATTCATCCCCAAAATTGTAAACTCTATGGTACCTTTTCAAAAAAATTCATTTGTATGAAAATAATAAATTCACCTGGAATATTAAAATGTGAAGGATTTTTAACATTAAAATGCCCCCATACATCTTCAATGTGACCATGTATGTGTGAATAAGATAATATGTTATGCATGTAGCTTGGTTCATTATGATTTGCATATATACCTCACATATATAATTCTTAATTACTAATCAGGACATGAATGCATCTGCTTGTAAATTATTATACCACTATATATTATATGTTCACAATTTCTTTTTACGAACTTTAAAATTAAAATACTTAAATATGAGGCTTACACCTCAAATTTTGAAGCTTGCGCTTCACTTCATTAGGGGGTCGAATGCTTAGCCTTGTGTTTCTGCTTTTTTAAAACATTGTGTGAACTTGATGCAACTTTGTCTATGCCAACGATGCAAGATGCATGCTTGTAATCCTAGTTTAATGTAGATATAAACTTCCCAATTCTAGTTTCTTATGTTTAGATATATTTTGTGCACCATTCTTGCATATTCTAGATAATTTAATTTAAGCATGATGCTTGTAATTCTTCTATGAAGACATGTAGTTGCAGTAGTTTTTTTAAATATTTGATGTTAAGTGAATGACTTGTGGACTTTCATTATAAAGTCCTATGGTATACCTGTTTTTCTATGAGGTAATATTGGAGTTACAGTGATGGCTGTGGTATTATAGGAGTTAACGGAAGCATTTGAGATATCTTAGGTCCTCATGTCCTTGGTATTCCTCACATGGTTTTCCTCTTTGTAAATCTTATGTATTAAATTATTAAAAGATTTTATATATTTAGAGTTTTTAATCTATATTTTCCTCAATTCTCCTCTATTTTCAGATTTGACTCTAGATCCAACTATCTGCTAGTTAAGATTTAATTAATTTATCCTCAGATTTTTTGTTAGTGAATTTACTTGGTATATTATCCTATTTTCTATTAAAATGACTAGTAGATTTAGTCATGACTAATCTTAGCTTAATAAAGTTTATTTAATTAGGTTAACAGAAAGGGGGTGGGAGTTCTCCAATAACTAGGTTCAGGCTGCAAAAATGACAAGGGCTTGGGTTGTGGTGAGGTTTTTGGGTGGAGTGGGGAGTTTTTCTTTTGTTTTTTTTTTTTTTGCATTAGGGAGGATAATAGAGGGAGGGATTATGTTTTTTGTTTTTATTTTTTTCCTCACTTAACCTGTGACGGTCTGAGAGCTTGGTTTCCCACCGTGGTAGGGAGGGAGGGAGGGAGGGACATCTTGGTTATTATTTTTCATACTTTACCTATGGAGTTCTGAGAGCTTGGTTTCCGAGGGTGATAGTGAGTTAAGAAATATAGAGGACATTGTGTTTTTGGTTTTGGTTTTTCTCATCCTACCTCTGAAGTTTCGAGAGCCTGCTTTCCCAGGGTGGTAGCGGAGTTAAGAAATATAGAGGAAATTACTTTTTTGCTTTGTTTTTTTCCCCGTTTACCTGTAAAGTTCTGAGAGCTTGCTTTCCCAGGGTGGTAGCCGAGTTAAGAAATATAGAGGCATGGGCTCTCTTGAAGCCATGACTAAGGGGAGTGATGCTCGGTACTTGGGTGACACATTGAAGCTGAAGGTTGCCCAAGGAGTGGTGGGGACTGTGGCTGATAAGGGATCGGTGTTGAAATTTGTTCCTTACACAATGCAAGCTGTCAAACAAGGATTCCAAGATCTTGGTGCATCTTCTTTGCTGTCTGCTCACAATCTTTTAAGATCAGGAGAGCTAAGATTTGAGGTACATTCCATAAATAACTCAGCAAGTTTTTGCATATTTTTATGCATGTTATTGTTTATTTTTCCAGTTGGATAAAGCATTGTGTTGATGACTTATATCTCTATAAATATGTTTGTCAGTCTCATTCTTTTGTATTTCTTGTTATATGTAGTGGCTGGATAAGTTAAGCTCATGTATTTCTCACCCTCAAAGTACCTAACTTTTTTTTTACATATAACAATTCAGGAACATTAGCTTTTACAGACAACTATAATACATATGTTACCGGAATGTTTCAGTACAATTTTACTTTTTGCCATGTTACGTGAAATTAAGTTGAGAGTGAATGAAGAGCAATAATATCTTTTGGCGTAAACTAGACTAACTATGGTCGTGGTCATGATATGTCCCTCCTTTAGGTGCCATTTGGCAAGGGGTTAAGGGAGGAGGGGTAAGGAGAATGATTAAATTGGTTAACCTGTTATGAGGTATTAAAAATAATTAAATTCCATTTGGATTAGATAGGTAAAGTGAAGGATGAACTGTTTTTGTGTTTGGCAATTAAAAAGGGTTAAAGATGTTATTATGCTAAGTTTTTAAAAAAATACCAAGTTTAACCTTATTAAAAGTAGACAAAAATTAGTAATGGTTGTGCAAAATGTTTTCTGGATCCCTCTCCCAAATGCAAATACACAACAAATTAGTTACTACACATTTATAATTAGCAAGGAAAAAGATCTCTGCAAAGCTTTCAATAGGTATATATGCTGTAAATTTGTAATGCAGACAAGTAAATGATATTTATCCCAAATCAAAATGAACTACATATGAACATGTCAAGTTAACAGTAACGAGAAGAGAGCAGTGAGTTGAAATATGAAAATAACAAAGCAGCACAACTTAATGTTAAATGAAACATTAAAATATTAGAAGTATCCTCACACTCCTTCACCCTATCTCTTACAAATTTATAATTAAATATTAAAATATCAAAACTTATTGCTGCTCAATATTTCTTTGTTTGTAGCACTTTCAAACTAAAGTCAAATATTGTAGTGGATGCATTATTTGATGGCCCACATAATCTCTTCTTTCTTTGCTAAATTACATGCGTTGCCCTTGTGATCGCACAGATTAGATCTTACTCCGCCTCAGTAGGCGGAGTAGTTAACCCATCAAATGGCGGGTTAACTTCCCGTTAAACATCACGTGAGCTTTTATTAGCCCTTGGATACTTTTTAATCCTCTTAACCCCCTCCATTAACCCCTTCCCAGACAGGGCATTAGGGACAAATCTCCCATCAAAATAGTTGGATTTGTACAAATTTTTAATAATTTTAGGAATCTAACCGATCATGATATGTTTTAATAGTTAAATAATAATTGTTAGGTAGGTTTTTATTAGTGTTATTATAAATGTTTTAAAATATATCTTATTATCATAGCTAAACAACTTCACCCTTAGTAAGTCCTATACTTATTTTCTTTTGGCTATATATGGTCATAACAGAATTGTTATATAAATCTTATCATGGAATCTAAAGTATTTTAAAAGCACATGACTTACTTTATATGAGCAATAGTTTATTTACTATTTTTTAACTTTTTCTCAATATTTTAAAAGAACGTGTCTTATTTTATATGAGCAATAGTTTATTTACTATTTTTTAACTTCTTTTTCTCAACTTAAAACTAGTCTATACGAATAGTTGTTCATCCAAGTGTAATTTTGTCAGTAGAAGCTCATACACATGGCACATAACAAGTTTTAACAGTGGATTAATAAAAGAAGTTTTTGTAAAAAACCATGTGATACGGTGCATAGTACATGTACAGAGGAAACTCGATAATAATTTTTTAAATTACCCAAAGTTCATGGTAAGGTATTGAACTCTAGCCTTTCTAGAGCACTGTTCTTAATAAAAAGGTGTGTTATTAGGGTTCACTCTTTTTGAACACGAGCCTTATATGTAGGGGCGGAAAACGACCGAATCGATTCAAACATCAGTGAATTCGAATTCGAAATGGGTTGATTTTTCCAATACTTGAATTCGAATTTGGGTTGAATATTACAATGATATTTATAAAGATAGAACATAAATGAATATTTAGTGACCAAGCAAGTCGAATAGACATTTGGTTAATTCTATTCGTTATCAATAGAATACATAAAATTATTCATTTATTGTTAAATGAGATATCAAATCAAATATGATCGAATAGCTGGACGAATAGTAACCAAACTGTATATCAATTATTTTGTTCACTTCCATCTCTACTTATATGCAGTTTCAGGGATGGCAGACTAGTAACTCCTCTTTTTACTGCTCCATTCTCAAAACTTTCATTCTTCAAGCTCTAATACATAATTTTTTATTTGATGGTCAAATTTCATGAAACAATCACAATAGTTTTTCATTCTTTCTGAGGGCATTTATGTGACACATGTACAAGATGGTTGCCCCCTGTTTTCATTTCTATAATATGTAGAATTTTTTGTTAATTTTCTTTTTGAGATACTTTCAATTTGCATGCATGTCCTAACTTGTTTGGATGATCTATCCCCCTTTTCAAGGTTCGGACAGGTGCCGCACAAGCGGAAGGAGGGGTGCACGGTTTAGTTTCATACGAGAAGAAGCCCTTCTGAGGGCTCCAATGAACCTCGTAGTTATTCTTGCGGTGGCAGTCGTGGCAAAAATATGCAAGTTTGGTGAGAGTCTAAATTATTCCGGCTATCTCGTTCATCGCTTGGGATTCTTTTCTTCCTCCTCAAAACTGGCTAGTATGAGCTAAATTTTGGTGTCCGCTTGCTGCCCCTCGGAGACTTGGTAGTTTTGTGTCGCAGTTCAATATCAATAAGTCTTATTAAATTGTAGCTTGAACTTCAGTTATTTTATGTATCAGTTTCCCTTATATTTGAGCTGTGAACGAGAGATGCTGCTACTTATAATGAAAACAATCTGGTTGTTGCATTTGGGGAACAATTACAGATCTGGCTTTTGGATCTCAGCGGTACTATCTAATTGCCCTCTCTGTGTAAAGCGCAAAGCTATGTTGTATTCTCTCTCAAAGCAACGCAGATCAAGTAGTTTCTGGTTTCATCCTGAAGTTGTAGCAGTTTTGCTTGGGTTATCACTGAATTTTGTCGCAAGTCTCTGATTTGAGGATTCACTGCTTGGGAGTGCACTCAAGCAGCCAGTTATGTTATATACTTGTCTTAATCATGTGGTTGTTCTCCGGCCAGTGTCTTATCTTCCCCTAATCTTCATTTGAACCGTTATGCGTGTTTTTAGTAGATACTGTTAGCTTTAGGCCTTGTTGAAGCGCAAACACAGGCAGCTGGATGCTGATTATAAATTAGACTGATAGTGCTTTGATTTTTTTTTAAAATTAATAAATATGGCATAAAAAGCCCATGCTACATCAGAAGCACAAATTGCGAACGGCTCACGCACAACACTGAGCTGCTCCGCTTATTAAAACACACTCATTTTTCGAGCTTCACTGTCAATATTTTTGTCCTTGCGGACATCTCTGTTATTTTTGCATTGTATGAGGACGGTGCCTTTGTATATCTACCTATGATTCGATGAACTGGCGCATCGATGTATCTTCGTGTGTGAGCGGGGCACCATTTATAGCGTGTTTCCTATCCAAGGTCCGTCTTATTAAGGAAAAACATTTTACAAGATATATTTATGCGGTTTTTTTCTCCCGATCAGACCCTAAGGATGACCGAATAAAATTCCAATGTTTCTTCTAATGATGTAGTTAGTCATTGTACCCGCTTATACTCATGGATATTTCAATTTGTCTTCTCTTTAGTTTTATTTATTTATTTATTGTATCTAATGTGCAGCTAATCTCCTGCCGTCTCCAGAAACAGTGGGACTCGGACCAACTTCATTCATATCTATATGATATGAGAGATACTACACAGCACCTAAACCACTTTTAGTAGATGCTAGCTAGATCAAGCAAATGGGCAGTGAATCTTGGCTATTTTTTAAAATTGATGCCAACATCCGAACAATCTTTAATTCCAACTGATCAACGACCTTTGTCCATGACACCACAAGAAATCTCCACGGGGAGTGAAATTACAGACCGCATCGTTCAAGAGCACACGTACGTTAAGATAACACCAAAGGTTCTTCTTAATAAAAACACCGAATCAAATACTTATAAATCATAATTAGCTCCACACTTGCATCACACTTTAATACTTATACTGGTCCTTAAGGCCATATCACGTAACCACGCATCTTATTAACACTCCAAATTGCTTATAATTAAAGAAGATGAAGGATAATGTTCCTTGTAATTAATACTGCTTACTCTCAAGGAACATACCCTTCATTCTTCCGCCACCACCGTCCGCCGTGTCCTCCCCCTTACTTCCCCCCACCCTCTCCGTAACACGCACCCTCTCCGCCGAGCCACCACCAGAACCGTACCCCTCCGGCAGCAACCTGCCACCTCCTCCACCACGCCCCCACCCCCGCCGCCGCCGCCACCTCCGTGGCCTCCTCCGGCGCCGTATCCACCTCCGCTTCCGCTCCCAGCTCCACCGCCA